TTACTGTCAGGCATTTGTCAAATCACATGAATTAAGCTTTGTGTCTGGGCTGTGTTTGTCATAAAGGGGGAGTCTGAGAATCAGAAAACGCCCCGCTTTTGCTTTTTTTGACATATTGAAGCTTTGCTTAAAAATGTATGTGACAGCGGATGGATGTGAGCGCAGAGGGATGCGCAGATAAAGGCAGAAGTAAAATCAGAGACACGACGTGGGAGGAAGGATGACGTTGGAGGGGAGGAAGTTCACGGAGTAATAAGAGAGTCAGAGACAGGGGGAGGAGAGACAGAAGATTATACGAGAGTCGAGAAAAGGTGGAGAGACAGATGATCAGGATGGGAAAGGAGACAGAGGAGGGGAGGAAGGGAGAGGATAGGAGAGGAAAGGAAAGGAGTGAAGAGGAGAGGAGAGGAATAGCTGGTCCGTTCACTGAGCCTTCACTAATTGCTACTCAGAAGAAAGAGTAGAGGAGTCTTTTTCCAAAGGATGGTCATTCTGCCTCTGTTCTTTGAATAAGATCTCTCCTCCCTGCCTCCCCTTTGCCTTCCTCCTTCACCCTCCTCCACCCTCTCCACTCCAGCGTCTAGACAAGAGCAGAACAAGCTGTGCTTGTTATGGCAGGAAGAGCAGAGGATGTGCAGTGTCACTGGGTCTGGGTCGCTCACTGCCAGTCAGACAAAAAAAACAAAAAACAAAAAAAAAAAAAAAACAGGAAGACCAAACTCCTGAAAGTGCAAGGTGTGAGTTTTTCCTTGGTGTTGTTCGTGCAGGTAGGAGGCTCAACTGTTTGTGTTGATTAAACACAGCTGCATTGCCCTCCACCAACTAATCAACCTTAACGGATTTCATTTAAATGGTTCCTTCCACTTTCCCCCATGAAGGATCGCTTTTTGCTTCCATCTTCCGTATGTTTCCTCACCAAAAGAATTAGAGCTTCCAAAAAAAAAGAAAGAATCCTGAAGTCGGAGTCGGAGAATCTCTCTGAGACTTGATTACGGTGGTCAATTAGACCTGTGTAATCAATTGAAGTAATGACTTTGGAACAGGAGAGAGGAACTGATTTGTTACCATGGCAAAGACATCATCCCAGCGAATATTTCAGTGGGCGTCTGTGTAAATCACTTCAATTTTCCCAACATCACGAACATGTGAGATGATTCTCTAAAGACAAATAATAATAATAGAAGAAAAAGCCTTTTTTTTCCTTCTCTCGCATAATATTAGATTTTTTTTCTTTGTCCTTGGTGCCATCCAGGATCCAGCTTTAATCTTTCAAGCATCCTCTGTGTCTGATTAGTTTCTTTTTCAGTCTGTTGTAATTTTGTGTTTAAACCCCAGGAAATGAACTTGGCAGATAAGATCAGATGTTGTCTTGAGTCTGGTTTAACCTTCTGGGACCTTTGAGTTAAATATGAGCTGATTGTAATAAGGAGATCTACTAATCCTGTGACCCCCCTGCTCCGTGTCACAATCTGCAGGTTTCTTGGCGTTCATTTCACCTGTTCCCAGGGTGGGTTGGTGCAGCTGTGTGTGAAAAATCTTTGTGTCAACATGAAGCATTATAGAGTTCACCAAATGCACCATCCATCATCATTCACATCCCTGCATCTGAGGTTCAGACTGCTCTGGAAAAAACTGGTGTTAACAGAGAGACTGATCTGACTGAGCTTTTCTTTGTCTCTTTAATTCTGATCACTGCTTCTCTTATAGCAAGATGGTAACTTGGGTACTTGGTGGGGATTTTTCTTGAGATAACACTAAAGGGTTTGGGAGATAAAGCTAGAAGTTATAAAAAAGAGATGCATAATGTAAGAAAACAAAACAACAAAAATGTATTTATAAAGTGTTAAAGAAACAGCTGAAGTTTGGTATATTATCTGTAATATAAACTGGTATATTAACTTGAATAAGTAAAACATAGACACAATATGGAAAATCTGTCCTTAAACCAAATGGAAATAAACCCTTGAATAGTTTAACGTTAGCCATTTCATGAAAATTAGCTTAGAGACGACTAAGATTGTGCAAAGAATTGTAAAAAAAAAAAAAAAGGTTAATGAAAAAGCTTAAAGATTAAGAAAACAATAGTCTGAAATAATTATCTGAAGTTAATAAATAAAATAATAATTAAATAAAAAAATCACCATCATCAATTAATAATTAAAGATCACTCCAAATAAGTCATTTTTTTATCTGACTAGAATAATAATAAAAAAATCAAAGATAGCTGAAATTCACACACTGGCTTGTAGCACTAGTGCATTCTGGGAGATTAAACCTGCTTCAAAAAAGACAACATTAATTCCTGCCGTTATTGATTGCATGTTAGATGGAATACAATGACCGGTGAAAATGAGCTCAGTCTAAGATTACACCGAATATTCGCTGTCAGGATAGTGTTTTCTTTTTTACTACTGCCTTGATTTAAACCATTGTTGTTTTACTTTGTCTCTAGTGAGTCCGGCACTACTATAAAAGTGCAGTAATAAATTGCTAGAGTCTCCTCACTGAAGCTCCTGGGAGTGGCATCATTGTGGTGTCTCGGTCTTTTGTGCCACTAAACACTAGTATGTTTTCTTTGTAGATTTTTTCCGTTTATTCCCCAAAGATTGAACTTCTTGGTGTTTTTACACAGATGGACATGTAGTCGTCTGCACTGCAGCAAATAATTGTTGGTTAGTTACTGAAATCTGGTCGACTTGTGCAATTTAATGGTCAACTGTATTTCGTGAGGCTGGGCTTGAATATATGTTCCGGACATATTCCAGTAGGGGGCACCACTTACAACTGATATTGACTATATTTGAATGTTTTTTCTTTCTTTGCAGTGAAGAGAGCTTTATAGGTAAATACCATACGGACTCTTTTTAGGATGAAT